TGCCCATTTCTAATTCAATATTGTTACAATTAATGAGATTAATGCATTAATACTAGACAGTGATCGAAAAGGTGTTTAGGAAAACTTCATATACTTTGTTTACTAAAGGTCTTTTTGAGATTAATTGAAAGAAGTACGGTAAGAATAAGCAAAGCGTTCGTTAAATCGTTTTGAAGGAAAACATATTCGGCTCAGGTATATCCTGTGTGTACCATGTGTGTGCGTACAGCTTCATTCAGGGACGTTGTCGCGCCATCGATGCGCCCCAGCAGAGATTTCCAGGAAGTTATGAACACTTGTGCAAATATTTGCCGAGCGGTTTCAATAGAAACGAAATTTCAATGTTATCGCGAGCTCCGTCTTATTCCGGTGGAGTCATCGTTAATCACAATCCCGCATTTAGGTTAATTAAGCTCCCTTTAGCATTCAATGACTCGAATACGTCGCGCGAAAATATCCACTTGAAAGTGCGCAGTGAAATCGGAAAGTTTCTCGCGATAATTCCCAGCTATATAACTCTGTACGATAAAACGCGTGATAATCGAGCTTGACGATCGAGAAATCACTCATTACGGTCAATGACGATCGACGATTAATTTGTCGTCGAGGCGAACAAACAGTAGTGGACAGTAGTGGACAAAGGTTGTCGTATTCCCTAAGCATAGTGATATATCAGAAATTTCGAATTTAGAATATAATTTCTGGATATACGTGTATCATATATGACTGACTAATTATTCCGTGAATCGGCAAGCTCCAAGAATGGGACAACCTTTCTGTCCACGACTGTAGAATTTCGAAGCTGCACTTATAACTCACATCGGTTGATCGATACAGTCAACATTTTGGTGAAACGGTAAAATGACTCACCGAATTCCGCTTCGTCTCGCATTCGGACGTCTGAAAATACAATGGTAAGCTGTTATCAGTATTGCGACGCGAAATTTATTATTAACGCGATGTAATTTTTATCTCGCCTCTCTCTCTCTCTCTCTCTCTCTTATTTATCTTTATTCTCTTTTGCCTTTTTATCATCAGTTTCTCTTAATGCGAATTGATATCGAGTTTCGATCAGTCCGCCATGATTTTTCGGCACTGCACATCTCCGCGCGCACGATCGAACGACCGCGCAAGTACGAGCTACGCGAACGCGATACATATCCAACGGGGAATTGAATTTCCTCGGTAATTTTAATGCCATTGTGGCCTGCCGAGGAGGGGAGGCTCCGGGACAGAGGGTAACTAACACAACCACCGGCTGCTGCACCCCTAACCATCTCGTAGACGCGAAATTTAGTTGTAGACGAGACGCGCAGCCACCCTTGCATGGATCTCGCCTCGAAATTGCTTACATGCTCGTCCTTGCGTTTGTTGCCGACATTTTCGACTATTCCGACAGTCGTTAGGAGAAGAGTCGCTTCTGATGAAAATATGGATTCCTATAGAAATCCATAGGAATTCAGGTGAATCCATACAGGATAATAAAAATCCATATAGGAATCCACATGGTCTGTGAAAATTCATATAAGAAACTACATGGATTCCTACCTAGGATCTGGGTGTAAGGCTTTTGTGACGGAAATCCCCAAGGGCAGCCATGAGATTCTATATGAATTTCCTACATGGATTCCCATTTGTTCTTTTTTCAACGGGAATTTTGTACTCGAGAAATCCTCTGCGAGCAATTAAAATTCCGCGTTAAAAATTCCATATTTCGCGATCGCACAAACGCGTTGTCGAGAGACACTGGTCTTGTTTTAAAGTTCAATCGAGGGTCCCCGCAATTTCTTGAGACATGCCACGGGGAAAGGAAGCTCGATCGCGGCTCCATTTTCGCGCATAAATTGCGGCCGGGCCCGCCGCTGATGGAGCTTTATTTCCGATGCTTAAGTCGAGCTCGGAAAAGCTGCCGGATACAAAGCCGAAGCGCCATAACCACTTAAGGAAGCTTTCGCTGGAGGCTCACGACGGAATCTGCGTCGCGGAGTAAGCGGATTTAGCCGCTGTTATATCTTTATAAATGGAACCGCTCGGAAAACCCGTGCGGAAACGCCGGCGGTCCATATCGCTCAGGGGATTTGCAAAATTACGCCTTTGTTGGTCGGTCGCGGTGTCGGGCGACGCGTCCCGCGGAAAATCTCTAGAAAAATCATCACAGCCTTCATGCAGCACCGGATGGAACGACGCGTAGCGGCGGATTGCGTGACGATTGATGATGTTCGTAATTGAAACGATAATGATCATTAGGCCGCGCTGCCGTGCGATAATTGAAATTAATTGACGCGCGAACGTGCCCGCGCGCACGAAAGAGGAACGTATCGAAGTACTTCGCACGATTTAAAAGAGATTCAAAGGGGAATTGTCGCGGAATTATTTTCTTCCTATGTTATGTATGTTATCGCTCCTTCTTCTCTTGTTTTTTTTATTTTTGAAATTATTGGGATGGATAGTCAAACGATTATCATCCCACGTTATGTTACATTAATTTCATATACGTTCTTTAAACGTATGCAATACGATTACGAAACGTTACGTACATTTAAAGAATCCGTATGAAACTAACATATGCTATCTGAGATGTTCTCAATCTTTCTGCTGTATACACACATGTATTTGTGATACTTCAACTTTTAATAATAATGAATTTTAAATATTTTGGTAGACAACGAGTTGACACCACAGATAAATAATAACGACTTACATTGCTATATATGAGAGAGAGACGATAACCGAAAATACTATTTACTTGCAAAATTTCTTTAAAGATATGATCTATCTGCGGTAAGATGCGTTTCCTTAGTTACCGACAAAATATTTATCGATATCACCACAGATTATCCATCTTGGATAAAGGCGTCCGGTTATCCGCGAATGACTAGAGAACTCTGACTTATCGACTATGCGAGAATTATCTGATAAAGATGTTCGATCAATTTTAGCCTATTTCATACTATGTAAAGTAAAAGGCACACGTTACGACTAATGTAACTTAAATTAATGTAACTAATTTGTCACTTGTCATGCATCATGGAAGAAATCATTTGCTTCTTGCATTTTTTGAATAAATTTCTAATTGATCAAAACAACCTAGATAACATAACGTTTACAGTAGGGACGTAAGACGTTTTAAGGACTTTTTAAATAAGACTTTTTAGGACGTCTTTAAGACATCTTTCAAACGTCTTATGTCCCGATTTTAGGCGTTATGTTACTTGGGGAACTGACGATTGCACATTCTTGGGAATACTACACCTGGTTTTTTTAGGTGTAGTAAGTTGTGAAATAAATACCACATTATCCCGTAAATGTTCAAAAGAGATGTTCAGATATTGTTCGAAAGAGCACAAATGTTCAAAAGAGATGTTCAGATATTTCTGGAACGAAGTCGAGGTTCGAGTCGTCTCTAAGTGTCTCTAGGATGTCTTTTGAACATTTGTTCTATATGGAATTGTAGACTAACCATGCGAATGTCAGCAGTTACCCGAACTCTCGTAAGGTCCTCGGTCTTCAATAACATCTTGTCTTCATTACGGCTTCCACTTGAAGATCACTAACCGACTTTTTATTCGAAAAATCACCGATCAAAGACACGTTTGAACTAAGAGCCTCGAGTAGGAAACAGGCACTAACATGATCACGTACCGACTACTCTGATTGGCTGATACGATTCCTGCTTGTTTAAACACTACAACACGTTTAATTACCGTTGAAGACAAATTTGTGAAATTAGCGATCACTGGTGTTGATATTTATGTCTCAAAATTATAATAATATTATAAATAACAATAAATTATTTGCTGATTAATTATATGCTGATATCAATGCATATCTGTTGGTGCTTCATTCTTCTCTGAGACCCTTTATCTTGAATCCGTTACGATCATTAGACCCGTTATTTTGTATTAAGGTGCCTTTTCATACTGACGCTCGACGCTTTTGTATATTTAAAATATGTCTGTATATTTATGTACAATGTTAGCCTAAAATAGGATAAGTTTATTTATTCATTAAAATGAAGTCGTGATATAATTCAAGAATGGATCAAATAATTTTTTTATTTCTGAAGTAGTATAACTCAAGGACTAATCAGCCGTATTTTTCTCTTATAATAAAACATAGGCAAAATTTAACAGGTTGTAACTTCGGCAAAAATGACGATAGCGAAATGATTCGAAAGTCATTTTAAAGTTTGAATTCTCTGCTTTTTAGGAATATTAAATTTATAACGTTACTGAGCTTTATAGTTCAGGTTTATTGAGATAAATGAAAAGTAGCAGTCGTTCAATTTTTTACTTTATATTTCAGTAGAGTTTTTTACATTGAAAAATTATTTGCATACAAATGTGATAAATATATGTTAAAAAAATAAACTTAAATTTTTTATTCATTGTTAACGAACATATAATTAGTTTACTCTGTAAGTAATCAAAGCTGAAAAAGGGTCATTTTTTTGCTTCAACATTAAATAACTGCGAAAAAAGAACATAATAATTTCAGAATGCGCAATTAAAAGAAGAAGACTTATGTTTTTAGTTGGCTTAAATTTTATATAATTTTCTATTTATGCAGAACGACTCGACAAACTATATTAGAAATTTTTACATTTTATCTTGGTTCATATTCGTATACATTTTATCTTGGTTCATATTCGTATAATATTATAAAAATTTATCAAAATTCAATCGAAAAATATACATGAAAATAAAAGACTTTTAGCTTTAAAATACTTCTTGAACTATTTTTATTATCATCATTTTTTTCCAAGTTATATAGTTTATTGAATTTTGTCCATTTGTCATGATCGAAAAAAAACTGATTCTTTTTTTTAATTTATATGCATATATAATATTTCCCAAAACATAAAATGATTTAACAGCGAGTGAAATAATCTTTTTATTTTCATGTAGTAAAAGAATATATCAAATAACCTTTTAATTGTTGAATATTGTATGGTAGGTCAAAAAGAGCTCTAGTTTAATGCTCTAGGTTAACACCAAACAGTCATCATATGACCCTCATGTGTTTGTATGACGCGGTGACATTTATATTCCACAATGTTGGAGAAAACTTCCGGGCCAGATAATCAATTATCCAAAGAAGATTATTTAATAATGAGAGCAAAAGAGGCTCTGCCGGTCGACATATATGCGGCTAAATCGTGGTTAATCACTGCGAAATCGTTATTTCCACATAGTGCAAAGGTTCAGGTTAGTACGTAGTTGTTATACTGAGTTATATATACTGAGTTTTGCTCCTTATTTTCTACATACATACCATTAAAAATGGGTAATAGTCGACCTGATTATGCTTTACTTTTTTTTTTTTAGTTTGAGGCTTATCACATTGAGAAACTATCAAAAAATGTAAAAGAGGCTGCTAAATGCTTCAGCGAAATGTAAGTGATGAACATGTAAGCTTCCACACATATGATCACATTTTAGCTTTTAAATATTTTTATATGTAAATGAGGGAGCATAGATTTCAGAATTTCCCGGATGATCGCGATATATGGAAAGAGATAGAAACTATCACAGCTTGTCTTCGTTCAGAACAATGTGATCCTGAAGCAGAATTTTTGTGCCAAATGTTTCAACATATCCCGCAGGAGTTACAACACAGATTACTTGTAATGACGGCTGATCACAGTGAAGATACAATGGAGCATTGCAAATTGTTGCTCTTGTTATTACGTAGGTTTCCTCAAACAATTGCAACTCATGGAGTATGTATCTCAAACACACAAATCTGAATTTGTTTGTACTTATCTTTCAGAAGATAATTTGTGTTATTATTTTAGACACGGTTGGTGGAAACATTATTAACAGCAGAGAAACATAGTCACCCAGGCCGGGCAGTGAATGGTTTCAGAAGATTATTAGCTTGCGATGCATTGCCATTGCTCGGTACAGCTCCAGTAGAACTGAATACTCGTCTCAGTTTACGATTGCTGTGTAAAGCTATAGAATTTTACTTAGCGTATATACAACAGCCGCAAGATGCACAAATACAAAATCCATGGGACAGGCTTTTCCAAATTGTAGAGTTAATGGGCAAGAAATTAGGATGGGAGTTAAGCAGCCTGTTTTCCATGCCTTGGAACCGCGAGGTATACAGTGAAAAATTGCAACAATATGCTATTGCACATGCTGCAGTTCCCTCTGATGAACAAGTAGTCAAGCAACTACTGATGTGTACAATTGTAGTATTATTGAGGCTACTGAATGAGCACACCATTCTTATGAGCAACGATGAAACAATATATTGTCTTGTAGAAGCTTTCGGGGAAGGAATACATATTCCTGCAGGTAAGATAATGTCCCTTTACATTATAATAGTAATTATAAATTTCATATATTTACATCTTGTATTACACAAACTAGAACCCAAATTGAAGAAACGAAAACGTGAAGATAATGGAGTAATAATAACCAGTGACAACGACTATAGTGGCAATGGTTTAGCATTGGCAGTAAAATTATGGGACATGTTGCATAGTACAGACCATTTGCAGAGAGAAATAAGTAAACTGAGTCAACAATTACGGCTGGACGCCTGGTTAAACCTCTTTCTAACAGATTTGGCTATGTACAAAGGTTTACATCATGAAGTATTAGCCAGATTATCACAGGAAAATTGCAGTTTATCTGTTAATCTTCGTTTGGCCGGCACAAGTTTCTTTTTGAAAGATTACAAGGTGCATTACAATTGTAAAATTGTAGAATTGTTGATATGTCATAAAAAAAATCTCTGTAATATTTCCTACCAGTAACATATTTCCTTCCAGGTCATGTTGGAGCATATTATTTTAGTAGCAAGTTCTTTACCGGTTGCACCAGGCAAGGTGTCTTACAATTTAACGGTTCCAAGTATGAGGCATTTACATTATTTGACTCTCGCTCGTTATCCTATTTTGCAATACTGTTGCAGATTGCTTCTTTTAGCGATAAAGGTAATCATTCTCTTTTTGACATAATATATTTCTTTCATATCCGCTTCATGAATATATGGTCGATATAAATTTAGGATAATATTTCCTTACCTGGAGGCGTTGGGGACCTGGCTATTGGACATTCATTGGTTCTAATGCAAATGGATTGGCCACTGGAAGCCAGTACCTTGAGTATAATCACAGAGAGAATTATCAGTCGGGGAAGTTTAACTTACCCGTTGTTCCAAGGATATATTATATGCGTAGATATTTTAGAAGAATTAATATATCTGTGGACCGAACATGGACATGGAATATCGTTGGATATAGCTACAAATTCGGGAGTATTACAAAGTACATATATAATAACACTTTTTCTAATGACATATTCTTTAATGACCTCTTTTACTGACGTCTTTAATAACTCCACCTTTAATGCGTCTATAACACATTATACAAATAAAAGAAGTAAGGATGAAATTATTCTAGATCGGCGCATCAGTACTCGTGGTGCTGACAAAGGAGTACGTGAAGAAATCAAGCAAATCATGCGTCGGCAAGCCGCACGGGACGGTATCGATTCTTTGGATGAATTATTACAGAAATTTATTGTCAACGAGAAAAACGCCATCCTGCATACCTTAATTATCCAATGATTACACTTGGCTTCGCATCAATCATTATCGTAGATCGCATACGATAGGAATTTATCATTTGAAACCATACATACATGTCAGATTTGTGATTCTAATTTGTTTTACAAGTTGCACTTAATAGCAATAACTAATATTTTGTAATTTAGAAAATATTTTTCAAAACATTGTACAGATTTATACAATTAAAGAATGTGTCATTGTTTATTGTAAAATCCCATTTTACATCTTAAATGAAAACAGAAGACCGCGTTGTCCGTCCGCATAATTTACATTGAAATATTTATATTAGTTTATATTAATAACAAATATAAAATAAAAATTTTAATTTTGAGATTTGAATTAAGTGTACAATTTTAACTTATCTCAATCAACATCAACGTTATGATATATACATATGAAATTGTTAAAACAAATTTCTGTTAACATTCTATCTTTGAATCTTTTTTACGGACGTCTGTAAAAGTATGCTGTTATTTCTTTTACATACATTTTTAACAATAAAAAATTGATAACTGACAAATCATATAAAAGTTAATCTAGATAAAATACGATTCTTAAAATTTCGATGAATCATCTGATCAGTANAAAATCATATGTGATTTATCCTCACAGTACATGAAATAAGTTAGTTCTCTTGCATGCCACTACTTGTACTTTGATAGAATAAATTTGTAAGATAAGCCGAAGGTTCTCCTTTTTAAAGAGGGGAAATTTGTGATAGCTTTAATCAAAAGATAAATAGATAACGTAAATAGATTCGTTAAAATTACTATAAATCTTAATTAGAATACGTGTACATTGATGTGCATTAGCAAAGAACAATTAAAGGAATTAAAGGAAAGGAGTTTTCGGCATATCTCTCAGTTTATACTATTAAACGCGAGTGACGACATGTAAAGAGATCTAAATAACACAGGAGATTAATCATGGATATAATTATATACTACATTATGACTATTTTATGTATATATCATATACTGATTGTTATATAAAGTTAATGTAGCACAAATAACTCTCTTGTTAAGGCTGTTTAGAATTACAAAAAAATTCATAATGAGTACATATAAACAACTTAGTATATGATCCTTGAGCATTCTATCTGATGTAAACGCTCAATTGAAGGGCACTTAGAAGTAATACTTTAATCCCGGGCATAAAGGAAGCTATTTGACTAAAATCTGGTCCTGATACCAATTGCGTGTGTAATTCTAATCCTCCTGTATAATTGCCACTTTGAATCATCTGTGATATTTGATGCAATCCTTGCAGAGTATTTTGAGATAACTGAAAAATATGTGTATGATTTATAAAAAGTAATATATATTGAACAACACTGACTTACCTTATTTTCTCTAAGGCAATCATATAGCACCTCCAGCTTCTTCGACACATCTTCTAGTTTCCTTTTGATTTGCTGAGGGAAGAAAACACGAAAACAAGTTTGGAACGGTAAGAAATATAATATAAAGTAGTCGATATTAAAAAATATCACCGCGTGATACGACGCATTAAGAGCCGAAGTACTCACCGGATTCTTCGCGCTTTCATAGCACTGATTTTTCAATTCGTCCAATATCGTTTTTAAATGCACGTGTTGCTCGGGAATAGGTGCTTTAGGTTTCTCAGGTTCGGCCACCCTCGCAGGCATCACAGGTGGTAGCGATTCCATCGGTTTGTTGAATGGTGCAGTGGCCGGCACGTTTTGCCCGTATTGCAGATTATAAGATGCGTGAGGATCTTGATAGAAATTGTCTTGAGCTAACAACTACAAAAGTAAATCGTATTAACGACATTTGACTATATTTACAGGTATACACACGGCACAACTATGAATAAAACTTACATTCGGTTCTGGCTGACTACTTCTCAACGGATGCATAATTGGATTCTGAGTTTGAAATTCCGTTTTCGGCTGGAAAAAATATAAATAATTTATCTTGAATTTGTTTTTCAGATCTCTCCTTGCACTTCTCAGCCATTTCTAGCAGTGGTGATCGGAGCTCGTCTATGGCACCGAAAGTAAACAAAAGCTTTCAATGTAAAGCCCAACAAACGCACTGTGCAACTCTTGGAAGTAGCTAGTGCGGAAACTCTCAATATATGATATTGACGAGATAGACAAAATATATGAAAATATTTTCCACTTTTATACGGTTTTATGAGGTATGTCATATAATATACGAATGAATGGCAAGAATCTGCGTGACACCAGTCTCAAAGTGCAAAGTAGCATGAAGACTTCTTTCCGCACAACACACTTATTAGTTCATATCATAGCAATGTACAAACGTTACATCACGATCAGCTGAATTAATCCTATTAATTAAGTGTACAGGTAACAAGGAGAATAACAATAACGGTACGTAATCTATAATCATTATAAACGTAGTACTCTCAATGTGCGAAATCGGCTACCTTGACGCCTGTATCTTTCGAGTGCTTCGCCTTCCACTTCCTGGTACCAGCGTGTTCCGCAGACATTTCGTTTTTTTCGTATAGTGCAAGTACTGGCTACATCATTTTAATATATACGTACATCAGTATTCAAATGTAATTAGCTCATCCGAACGACTCTGTGGGTGTGTGCGCGCGTGCGTGTGTGTGTGCGTGCATGTGTTTGTAGTCGGGTAGTGATTATCGGTCGGAACTGAACAGTGTAGTCGGATAAATTGACGATACACATGTATCTACCTGTACTCTAGAACTTTTCCCGATCGGCGGATCGTTCCATCCGGACGATTGCGGCGGGAACTGGTACATATTCTCGTTCCCGTACGCTTGCGTTGGCGGAGGTGGCTGGGATCTGGCAGGCTCGTACATCTGGGTCTGGGGCGTACTTTGCAACGGCGACGTGTTCGGCTGAAGCGGCTTGTAGGGCTCGGGTTCCTTAGGGGTGTTCGTGAAACTTGGCGGCTGGCTGGGAGGATAAGCGGCGCCTGGCATAGGGACTTGAGGTTGATAGGGATTTTGCGGAAGGTAACCGGGAACGGGTGGGACTTGCTGAGGATTGTAAAACTGATTCTGCGGCGGGAAGCTGCTCTGGCCGTACGAAGGTGTGGACTTCACCGACGGATCTATCAGATACTTCGATCTCGACTGAGGTCCGACACTGGACGGTCTCGAGCCGCTCAGACTGGAACCCGACGTAGGCGGAGGCGGTGGTGGGAGCTGAGCCGCTGGGATCTGATTGTAAGGATGCGATGTGGGATATTGATCGTACATCGTGGACTGCGCCTGAGGCTGAGGGAGAGGCGGTGGCATTCCGTATGGTTGAGACGGCTGGGCCGTAAATTGACTCGTGGTGGACCCGTAAGTCTGCTTCAGCGGAGTCGTGTTCCAGTTCTGCACCGGTGCTATATGCTGTTGTTGTTGCTGCTGCTGCTGTTGCTGCTGCAATGGTTGCTGCAGCTGCGAACTGTATGCGTTGTGCGAGCCCTGCGACAATTTTCGGTCGTAGTAGTTCTGGGTCGTGGGTTTCGCGACATGTCTCTGTTCTTGTACATAGCCCAAAGCTCTGCACAGGCGGTCCCTCAGCATCGAAATCCTCTGCTCCTGGCTGTTCCCGAGATAATTCAAGGCGGCTTCTAAATTGCCCTCCGCCGCAAGCATCTCCGCGTACTCGGACAGTACAGCAGCGATTTTATCCTCTATCCGAATCTCTCTGATACCTTGGAACTCCAAAGCCTTCTGCATTATCACTACCAACTCCACCACTTCTTGAATATCCGTGTCGGACACTTCGATCAGCTTATTCAAATTGCCGGAGCAAATGTAACAGATTTGCGCTTGATTTTTTAGGTTGTGCCCACTCGAAGCCAAACGATCGCCGAGCATATCTATTTGGAAGAGATTTATGTCATAAACGCGAGAATGATACAAATAATAGTGACAGATTATTTTCTTCAACATCGATCCTTACCGCATAAAGCAGGTCGTTCTTGCGCATTGGAATGTGTAAATATGCCAACCAATACCTCTCTCCAACAGCGAAGGGCACTGTTCTTGACAACCTCTGTCCAATTCTCACTAACTAATGAATTAATGAGAGAATTTAATGGACCGGAATGTTCTGAGAAGTATCTGTACTGGGTGCGTGCTAGTAGTTCGGGGCCAGCGGCCATCGAGAGGATGATGGCGTCGGCGTACCTTTTGTTGTCAAAGCACAAAGATACGGCTGCTTCGATGTTCCCTAAGAGGACGGCTTGAGTGATAAGGCCATCCTCATCTAGAAAGCAATACGAGTTTGATCTATTAGTAAGTTCTTTCTGTATTCTTGATGTCAAATTTATCAGCGTACGTGGATATTACGTACCATCGGAAGTATTGATGATGTAAGTACTGTCCGTAGGTTTGCTTACCACTTTCTTAAGATGTTCTTGCGCAATAGCTTCAAATGCAGCACTGCCGTCTAAAACATTCCCGTTCAGCACCTGAGACGAATAAGAAAGGCATAATGTTAAGATATGTCGTAACAATAATACAAACATGACATTAAAGAAAATCTTACATTATTGAGATTAGACACGCCTTCTGTAATACTGTTTACATCATCCTGAGGTACATACTGATTCAGTTTGTTATTCATTGCGTCAATATCGTAGCCCAATAATTCCAATATATTCTTCGTCACGTTTTCACCAAAATATGCACAAACGCAGCTCCAGATCTTCTTGGTATGATCATCCTGAGACCTGTCTATCTTTCCTTTACAATAATCACTATATTGTTCAGTTTTCAATGTTGCTTCTAAGTTATCGGAACGTTGAATAAGACTGGGTTGTGTGATTACTTGCGATATAATAACTTTTCTGTTTGAGTTTGCTGGTAAATTCGGATCGGCAGGTAAGTTCTCGAAAATCACTAATTTACCACCAAACTGAAAATGGTATTGTCTTCATCAAACAATCATTGCTTTTCACTATAAAATAAACTTGACTGTCTATTGTCAATGTAATAATATAAAAATGAATTAAAGACTCACTCCGAATGATGCTCCGAATGGCCTCTTTAACCATTTGGGAGCTTTCGTCAATATTGCTGTTTTTTCAGTTTGTACCGTAGGCGGAAGCTGAGTAAAAGGATCCATTCCTGGAAACGAATCTACTATTTTGCTGGATGTCCCCATAGAGGTTTGTTGTTGTCCGCCTAATAAGGAGTAGATGACAGCATAACCGTCAAAACTGCTGCTAGCAATTAATCCTGGATGTCTTGGACACCAAGACACATCAAAGTTCCATTGTTTCGTTTGCGCCAACTCACATATCACCTCACCATTCTGTATTTCAAAATTGTTAGGTAAAATTAAGCCAATTTTTATTTATATGTTTTAGGAGAGATCAATGCACATTTGTGCATACCGGTGCATCTGAGTTAGGATTCCAGCACAGAATTCTGTTATCTTTGGCACAACTCAAAAGTAGATCAGAATCGTGCGGATTCCATGCAATTGAAAGAACACCACGTTGATGATTCTGTAATGTCTTCAGAGGAGACATCGCAAATCTTAAATCCCATAATTCAATGATAGGAGACTGGTCATCTTCCGATGCTAAGCACAGTTGTGTTGCAACATCAGGATGCCATTGAACAACCTTCCAGCGCACCTATAATCGAAACATAATTGTGAAATTTTTCCAATCATGTTCTTATATATTGCAGAAGATAAGCGAAATTATACCCTTGAATTTGCATCTGTCAGTCTGATTATTGGCTCATTTTTTCTCAAGTCCCATATAACACAACATTGCGAAAATGTTGACGCGAGAATATGTTGTACTGTAAAATAAGAGTAACATTAAATATCAGAATCAAATTTCGACGAGTATTTATTTTCAAAATAAACATGTGATTAATTTGATCACGATCCAGCATAAAAACCTTGTTTGTTCCAAGCAATATACTGGACATCTTCCAATGGCTGACTTCTGGAGCCAGGTGTCATAGGTGTGTTTGTATTAACTACATCCCAAATATAAATCTCACTTTCCGTAGCACCTGTAGCTAATAGATTAGTTTGGAAAGGATTGAAATCCATCGCTCTGACAGGACCAGTGTGTCTGTCAGAACTGCTTATCATGCAATTAGATTCCTGGGCCAACATTGCTGAAGCAGAATAAATTTTTATCATGCCATAGTCACAACCTCCAACAATTATACCGGCAGGTTTATTTCCATAGGGTCCCCAAACAATCTTGTGAAATCTAAATCACCAATCAACAGCATAAAATAATAAGCATAGTATATTGAATAATTTCAGTGTTATATCAGTAGATTATAGATACCTATGATCACTGGGAATACTGGCTTTAAGTTCCATTTCATATCCTGGCTGTTGAAGATTCAGAGAATATAGATCCAAACTAGCAGAAGTACTAAAGCTTGCGTCTAATTGTTGTGCCGCTGTCCCTGTAGCCAGCATGATGGGATGTTGAGCTGGCGGGGACCATGCTACATTCACATTCTTCAGCAACTCCTTGATCTTCATCTGTACACAAGTTTCATGTATTTGAGGAACAACATTATGCATCACAAGAAATGAACGTTTCTTTCTTGACAGCATGATGTATTACGATACAAAAAACCTCGAGTAACAGGATTTAATTGCATAAATATAGCGGAGATGTTGTCATAAAAAGCAGCCGACAGTACGGAAATTGGAACTCGGCTATTCGTGATTAAATTTATCTCGAAGGATCGCGGTGATACCGGTAGTGTCTTGCTAAACGATGTCCCCTCACCTTGGCGTATTTAGACTGCGGTCAACAGAGACTTTATATAAAATATTATGTGGCGAATTTGCCAAGCCGCAACCACCCGTCAAGTCTTCCAACGTGGCGAGCTGCATGCGAACCGACGCTATCGCCCTCCTTGGAACAATTGTTGTATTACGAAACTGCGTCCCAGTTTCCATGCGTCGGTTGCTACTTCGAATTGCCTCGAATGGCGTCACCAACCGACACTCGACAGCCGCCAGTCTTCATTTTTCTTAGCTAGTGAAACGTTCTTCCTGAGACTGCGAGGTAATCTATCAGTGAAGTGTTGTTAAGTTTCTTTACTGTTTGGATCTTTTAAGAGGAACATTTTTGGTCTTCTTATGTGTGTATGTGTGTTTGGTTTTGTCGCTTTGTAACTCTCTGTAGTCTGAGATAATTACGATGCGTACATATATGGGTGTTGCATAAAACAAGACTGTCGGTTCTTTTATTGCTCGGTATTAAATTGTTTGTTGCTTCATAAATACGTGAACAGTGCCTTTGTGTAAAAGTATGTTACAGTCCGGATCTAAAATAACTATTAGGTTACATAGCTTTGTGTAGTATCATGTGTAGTATCATCATTAATTATTACAGTGCTTCACAATGTCTATTGGTTTGTTTATTGCTACATAAATTTTCAAATTATACCTTTGCCTGCATTTTTGACTTGAATGCTACGTTGTTATTCTATAACTCGCAAGCATTTGTCGTGTATATATTGTTGCAATAGTTATGTTATGTTATTTATGTTATATTATCCTTTAATAAATCTTATATATATACATACATACATATATAAAACTGTTATATATTCTGAAATGATATTATTGATTTGATTATTGATATGATTTTTAGTATTATTTTAATGTTATTTTTGTTATATGATTTATAATTATTTTGTTATAAATCTAAAATTGAATATATGAACTTTCAAAAACTTATCGATTGCTATATTAAGATATTATAATTCTTTTGTAAATCTATTTCTAGATATTTATCTAATAATAAAAACATTAATCTTAGTTTAATGACACTATGAATTTCATATATATATATATATGTTATATAATAGAAATGCTGATAACTTTTTAACTGTTTGATTAATATAAATATGAAATAAGCATAGAGAAATTTTCTATTATCAAAATAAAAAGCAGAAAGTACTAGCAATACAATAACATAAAGAGTTAAATAACTCAAAAAATTAACGGCAGTGTCTGTAATAATAAATATCTTCTTTACAGAATTCATTGAAATCTTCCTTTTTTGTCGCAATGACCCGACCTGCTAATCATGAGGAACTTGTGATAACGGAAGTTGGACTTGTGCGATAATTTCAGATAACTTAATGAATTGAAACTAAGAGACTTCCCGAAATTGATCAGTGTGTGAGTCGACCTTATACATAAGTCAAAGAAGGAGAAGAATGTGACTGATACTATGGACTGATGGACAGCAGTATGTGGCCAAGATTAAGACGATCTCGTCGTCTATCGGTGATCATTTTTTTGATCGTTGTGCTCATCGGCACACTTCTTACATGGTCCAGAAGCCGAGAAAATAATCAGCAAGATGATTTTATCTCATTACAGTACGTTCATAATAAATTGAATTGTAATACTTTGGTCGATTTACATATAGGGATTTAAACATAGTTAATTTTTTCTCATTATAGATTACATAACGATCAGAAAGATTATATCGATCATCGAGGAATTCACGTGGTTGTTGGTCATTATATAGGGGATTCTGTAGATCCGTTGAAAACTCCAAAAATCACGAAAGGTAATAGATGCAATTGTATATTATGTGAAGCTGCTGACAGCAAAGAAAAATATTAAATATCGTTCATTCTCTTCTTTCAGATATGATTAACCAAAATTTATTCGATCCACGACCGTTCGAAGGCAAAAATGGAGAACCTGTAGTAATACATCCGAAAGATTTTTACAAGATGCAGCAATTTTATCAAATTAATCGATTTAATTTAATGGCTAGCGATAGGATACCTCTGAATCGGTCTTTACCTGACGTTAGGAAAAAAAAGTAGGAGTGCCACACTATCTTTCGTCATATAGATTTTTAATATCATTCGATCCTAAAGATTTAAATAGAAGTTTGGTATTGAAAACTTTGCAGATGCATCTCGAGATACGCAAATTTAGGTAAATTGCCGAAAACATCCATTATCATAGTATTTCATAACGAAGCGTGGAGCACTTTGTTAAGAACAGTACATAGCGTCGTTAATAGATCTCCGAGAGAATTGCTAGAAGAGATTATTCTTGTTGATGATAACAGCGAAAGAGGTACGTAATGGTTTAAATTTGCTGTAAAATGATATTTTTAGCTTTATCGCACTTGTAACATTCTTCTTATCATTATATGTTGCTAGAATTCCTGAAGAATCCTTTAGACGAATACGTGAAGAAACTGAGCGTGCCCACGAAAGTTGTGCGATCTAATGAACGTATAGGATTGATAAAAGCAAGACTCCTGGGAGCGAATGATGCTAAGGGTGAAGTTCTCACTTTTCTTGATGCTCACTGCGAATGTACGGTTGGTAGGTAAGCTCCGTTATATTATAACTAATTTATAATAATAAATCTGATGCTTCATTTTTTTTTTTTTATTATATATAGTATTAATGTGTTGATTGCAATTTTTGCAGGATGGTTGGAACCACTACTTGAAGCAGTTGGTAAAAACGCAACAAGAATCATCTCTCCAGTAATTGACATTATAAATGATGATACGTTCAGTTATACAAGGTAATTCACACATTCTTATATTTATCAATATTGTTACAGTTATTATGATGATAATCTCGATAAGACTACAATTTTTTCGTTCGCTTTAGTTAATAACTTACAAGCTGATAACAAAGGAATAATTTTGCAGATCATTTGAGCTTCATTGGGGTGCATTCAACTGGGACTTGCACTTTCGCTGGTTGACTTTGAACGGCCGTCTGTTGAAGGAGAGGCGCGAGAGCATCGTCGAACCTTTTCGAACGCCCGCTATGGCAGGTGGGTTATTTTCAATGAACAGGGATTATTTTTTTCAATTGGGCAGCTACGACGACCAAATGCGTATTTGGGGAGGGGAGAATTTGGAACTGTCATTCCGAGCTTGGCAATGCGGTGGCAGTATCGAGATCGCCCCTTGCTCTCATGTCGGGCATCTCTTTCGAAAGTCCTCCCCGTATACCTTCCCGGGCGGCGTCGGTGATATTTTATATGGCAATCTCGCCAGAGTTGCCTCTGTATGGATGGATGAATGGGCGGAGTTCTACTTCAAGTTCAATCCTGGTAAGTGAGGTTACCATTAATGCCGGCACGTGTAAATTTACCTTATCTGCCGGGATGGATCTTCAATTTCATGGATCGATGGATCCTCGTACTTCGCATTTTATTAGAGGCAGCGAGATTAAGATATAAGCAGCAAATCCGCTCGAGATTGGCTTTACGCGAGAAACTGCAGTGCAAAAGTTTCGAATGGTACTTAGAAAACGTGTGGCCCGAACACTTCTTTCCTATGGATGACCGATTCTTCGGCAGGGTAAAGTTCACTTACGAATCACGCTTTGTTGAATCAAACGCTCATAGGCTTAGCCGGTTATAAAATTAATAAGAAAAAAAATGAGAAATACAATTAAGAAAGTCAAATCCATCTCAGATAATGCATACTGCAACTGAAAAATGCCTTATGCGACCGACCGTGAAAGGTTCTTACGCGCAACCGTCAGGACACGCAGTCCTACACTCGTGTATACCGCGTTTGGTACTTAGCCAGATGTTTGTGATGACTAAAAGCGGAGTGATAATGACGGACGAGAGCGTGTGCTTGGATGCACCGGAACGAGATATGCAGCAAAAAATGCCAAAAGTAAAGATAATGGCATGTAGCGGTCGTGATAGGCAGAAGTGGCAATATGACAAACAAGTACGTTGTTATTAATGAAGTATCGACCATAATAACGCTTTTTTTTTAACGGATCTTATGATCGCTGTGAGATTGTTCATTTGTACGTTCGTACTATAAGTAATAAGGAGTGTGTATAATAAGATGCCGTAAAATATGGATTACTTTTAGACAAAGGTACTTTTACACGTGCCTTCTGGAATGTGCCTTCAAGTAACAACGGACGATGATACACCCGTAATAGCGGCTTGCACGAAGAATGTCGATCAACAATGGATCTTAGAGTCAGTCCCTTGGAACTGATGATCACAATGTCGTCGTGTTATCGATAAAGGGAAGAATGGTAGTGCCTTAATGAATTCTTAGACCGGTATTCATAGTCATCTTATATTTAAAATCGTCTTAAGTTCATCTTCATGCTGTGTGGCTCATTTCATTGGCTGCGAAGCATCGGAAAATAAACTTAAGATTTTTAAATATAAGGTCTTAAATATAAGATCTGGCTATGAACACCGGCCTTAGTCTATGGCTCGGTTTTTCATTTTCTAGTTACCTTATGGTTTAGGCTTAATCTGATGATAATATAAAAATTGTTTTTCTATTAGTTAATCATTAAACTTTAAAAGTTACCACTACAAAACCATCAGTTTAATAATTGATCATGAATAGGAAAACACAATTTTTGCATTATCATCAGTTTAAATCGAAACTACAAGTTAACTAGAAAATGACAAACTGGGCCTATGAATAATAAGAATAATATACATTCCTATTGTGCGACATGCCAAACTTGCGTCCTGAGCGGCAGTTCGCATGTCTTTCTCATTTCAGCGGAGGATTAATATTTTTTTACTTTTATATTAAGACAAAACCAAGAGCAGCTATTTTTGCTCTGCCAAGGTTTAAATTGTACAATCGAAAGAAAGAATAACAGAAAGAGTGTTTGTGTCATTGAACCACTTCGCTCCTGCATTTTTCCATTCTTCCGAATCAATATGGGCGTCTATTCCATACCCGTTCTTCTCACATCCGTGATCCAATCTCACTTATTATTCGTCCTGCCTTCGCTCATCTCCCCCTTATTGCAGCTTCTATTTCCATCGAATTGCGTTCAATGTTTCGTGACAGAAGGCGATTTATATTCAATACGGAAAGAAAGAAATAAGCACAAAACATGACATTTTTGCGACGCGCGGTCTTCTCATCTCGTAAATGGATCTTGTTTCGTCGACTAATGGATAAGATGACTGTGCTTGGTCACGGGCAGTAATCAGAACACGAATGGCCGTTTCGAGAATAAGAATGCGTCGATGCCGTGATTATCATGCGCGTGTACGCGAGCACATCGTTTTGCGCCGCGCAACTTCCTATTAGCGTTACCTTCCAGGTAACATCGCGTGGACGCTAAGCTGAACGACCGATTTGGTAATCTTAAATAAATGCACGTGGATCGCGTGGTACGTTCTTCCGACCGATTTGGCATTGCCTTAAATGGGTAATCCGCCGCTGTCGCAATTCCGAAGAAGATGCGTATTGTTAGTGATTCATGGCTAGTTAAGGACCTGCTGACGAGTCATCTTTATTGTCGTCGTCGTCAAGGCTGAGACGAAGATCGCTTCGACGTCGATTCTATTATCTCCGAACGTTAGGTACAAACGTTTTAGTTCACATCTGTTCCTTTTATTTCCATTGAAATAATTATTTCGTAATATTTTATCCAACTGTCCTCTAAAGTTAGTAAAGAATGCATTCAATACCATTTCATAATTTCTGTTTTGTGAACAATTTATTCTTATTCGAGGAATATTTATTATCTCTACATTTTCTTTGAAACATCCAATTTATATCTGCGACACGTCGCGTCGTTCTTAATTAAAAGCAACGACTCAAGGATCTTCGTTTCTTCCAGCCCTGATTAACCACAGTAGGTATATATAACGAAGGTGAGCGCATGATGCACAAAGTTTCCTCGACTGCAGCACTCTTCATGGTGCTATTATTTTTACATTCTTCGTGACTTTTTTGGATTAGCGATGAGCTATCACAATTATTTCATTAACTTGTGCCACATGGGATATCGACAAATATTCTTGCACGTGCATGTTGTACAGTGACCACTAATGAGACATTCTTAACATATTTTAGATAAATTATTTAAATATTTTAACGTATGCTAAATATTGCTAATATATTTTAACATATTTTAAATGAATATACATATTATTCATGTGTGTGAGCTACTTGTCGCAATTTAAAAATTCTCTGGTAAAAGACTGATCGATCAGGAAAGAGCGATGCTCGGCAAATCGTGTACCGTGCACAGTAGGAGATCGGAGAGTCGATCCCTGTCGTGTTGTTTCGGCGTGATTTCGATCCAGACGATACGAACGAGCTGCATCCGCAGGCTACTTGGCACAGTTTACCGATATCTGGGTCAAAGTCACGTCCTCGGTGAGGCTAAGAAGGTACTTAGCCCGAAGCGCACTATTCCGCCCGTGCCTTCAGATCCGATCACCTCCAGGCCAAGTTTGGTCGAGATGAGTGAGACTTTATTTATGGATTCGCTTCGCCTCTGAAACAAACAATTCTCTCGCCAAACCGAGAGCTCGCTAATAGTATGTGTTTCTTTCTTTTTTTATAAAAAGTATATAATTTAAATAAATTAATTTTAATTATATGTACGCATAGAGAAAGAGCGGCGGAGAAGAAGAGGTGAATATAAATCACGAGTATTTTAATTAGAGCTATTCGTGCTATATTCGAGAGAAGATAATTTGATGCTATGTAATCTAGCATTTTATATGTACATAGCAGACTGGCATCATCCACGTATTTGCATATTATTAATTTAAAGACCGTTGCTGAAATACGAACTAACGGCGAGGTTTTAGTTTCTCGTACTATGATCGAGACTATGATCTAATAAAAGATAGGAAATGGCTAATCACAATTCGTTTAATAAAGGCTATCGGTTTAATCCGCTCCAAATATCATGAATGAGTTTTATCTATCATGACGGATTTTGTAATGTGTCCTTAGTTTAATTTAATCGCGACAAATAGTGCGACGCATAATGGTGCGCTGTATACGGAGAAAAAAACTTCACAACTTCGCATTTTTTCGATATGCTTTATGACCGCACTTTTTTTGTATTTCTTCTTGAAATTGTAAGTTTATATGGAGATTAATATTACGACATCTTTCTAACATAGAAATGAAATAAGAATAATTAATTATATTAATTTATGCTTATAACTGTCATAAAATCGGGCGTACACGTTTCAAAAAAATTATTTTATCATTTTCTATTTAATAATAATTATTAAGCAACATTATATGTACTAAGTCATATTTTTATTAATATTTTAGATGGTATAAGCTGTAAATACGTGATATAAGCTCTAATAACAATTACAGAGCTAAAGTCGCAAGAAGTAGCACGTCACTTTTATAGAGCAGTTTAATAATTATATTTATTGTAAAAAAATGTAATCAAGAGCTTGAAGAAAAGTGGAGCACTTTTTATAGACATAATAATATAAATAAAAACTTGAAATTTAGTATAAAGTAAGACTACACACATTTGAAATACATTTGAAATACTAATGAGATGTATTTCGGGTAAACAGACATTATAGTATAGTACAAAAGTAAATAGTAGAGTATAAAAGTAGAGTCTAACCATGATTTGAGTTTGTTTTTAATCAATGAATAAAATATATTCATTTTTATAACAAGATCCTACATTAGATATCCGAAAACAGCAGTTGTTATATAAGAATAATATTTTCAAGATTTTGAGTTTTTTCCATCTTCGCACCACTGTGCGACGTGCGGATAAGTAGATGCGGATTTCGACTATCGGAGGTGTCTCGGGGGTATATCATTTTTGAAATTTACCTACAAGTCACGTCGTCAACTCGTCCACACCGGTAGTCCGAGTGTTCCGGTTCTCACACACTTGTGACCCTGGCCGGGCAACCGTTTCCCACATTAATTGCGGCTCTTCTTCTCCACATGGGGGAAAGAGGACTTAATTTTCTGAAAACAGAGTCGTATTCGCGGCTGAACCCGACGTTGACCCTCTCGCGTCGTGCGGTCATACAGAACGAGAACAAAAAGACAAAATTCCGTGAGGTGGATGAAAGTGCGCACGAGAGAAAGCATAGTACGAACTCACGCTGAATCCTGAATGCTTTCTTTGCTTACGATATCGCCTTTGAACGGTTGTGTGCGTGTAATCTCGACAATAATCAACAGAAATTTCAAGAACGGAAGTCGAAGAAATTTGGAAATTTTTAAGCAAGAAGCCGATGGATGTATGTTATCAATTTTCTAAAACCAAAAAATATATTGGAAAAAGTAGAGAATTCTATGTAAATATAAGAAATAAATTGACAACATCTATTAGTTTACTATTTACATCAATGGTGAACTGTGTGAGAATCGTTGCAATACGCTGTTTGCTCTCACAAATGGAATTATCCTGTTTATTGACAATGGAAATGGTTCTTGCATGGCGATCTTTAATTGCAGGGAAGTTTCGATAGAGCAAAACTATCGAGAGAAGAGAGGTGTTCTCTTATTGAATTATAATATATATATTTTTGCATCTCAAATATTACATATTGACATATATACAGTCATCGTCGTGCTACAAAGGCGTGACTACGTAGCTATAAATGTCATACGGAAAATAGGAGTGACGAACAATTATAGGATCGTTCACGGACGTCGTCTTTACTCGATCATCCCGTTCGATGAGCCAACCGCTTCTCCTCGCGTCATGGGAAGAATTGAACAATTCAATGGGTCATTTCGCAGTTTCAATCGGCGATCCGAGCAACTTCAATCTTGAATTATGCATGTATAAGCGATGAAACCTCTCCCTTTCTCAAGGAGAATTCGCAGTTAATTTTGCAGAAATATTAGAATGTTATCATTTCCTTCTTCTTCTGTACATCAGAATATTACATTGAATTCTCGTAAGATAAATAATTAAGTCAAGAAGGAAGAAGAGAATAAATAATTGAAATATTTACAATTAGATCCGTCAATGAAGGGCTTCGTACTTGAAAGGAGATTTTCATAAGACGAATAATTTTCAGTCATATCTCCGGTGAAACCACTGAGATTTATTAGACGGAGACGTCGTATTTTACTCGCAGAACTGTGGCGCAACACGAAACCAGTTTTATTGGCGCAAATAACATATCCTCTTTGTAATAATATTAAACAATACTACGATCGTTCGTCTGCTTGAAGCGCTTGGCGCTTGTTATGCTCTTTATATTTGACTATAAACGTAAGAATCTGTGGGATTGAACTGAGCTTGAAAACTTTCGTGTGCGTGTTCGTGTTTCCGCGTGTGTCGGTGTCTCTAACTGTGTGTATGTGTATGTGTGTGTACGCGTGTGTCTTAAAAACTACTTGTTCTAAAGGTAACGAGCGCTTTATAGCTTCCTCGGCACACGGCGCCGTTTCCGTGGCTAATAGTAAGTACGTATAACACGGTAACCTCGGTCAAATCACATTCGTGGGTGGTACGATTTATATCTCTATATCTGTACGTATATATTAACTATGCATATTCATATCGTATATATTTATATCTCATATAAAAATTAGAGAGCTCTTTTTACAAGTTGCTTCTTGTTTTATTTAGTACATACCGCGCGTGGCTGACTATATGTAATTACAGGAAGGTGGTACGAACACTCGTGCGAATCGGATCGATTAGTTCCATTAGAATTCAACGTTGGCGACGATCGAGATCGCGCGGTAAGGCCTGAGAGGTGCTTTACGACGGGGCTGTGAGCCTGACGGGCCTCGAGTCATAACTAAAAAAAATACAGATCTAAGCCGGACTTACCGAGCTGGTCGAAGTAAGGTGTCACATATCGTCGTCAGGGTGGCGTGCAATCGTGAGATTAGTCGACTTT